TTAAAAAAGATGAAAATTCAATGCTATGTTTGTGTAGGTTTTAAAAAAAGATGAAAAGGCATAGGTATATAAGGGTAATTTTTTTAAAAATAAAGTACAATGCTCTGTTTGGGTATGATATGAAAAAAAAAGTGCAATGATATCAATGTAGTTTTGAAAAAGAGATGAGAGTAGAAATATTTGGTTTGAGTAGATTTGGAAAAAAGATGAAAATGCAATGATATATCTTTAATTCTTTTTAAATGCAATGATATAATGGATGTTAAAAAAAAAAAAAAAAAAAAAAAAAAAAAAAAAAAGAGAGAGAGATAGTAGAATGCTATGTTTGGGTAGAGTTTGACAAAAAGATGAAAATGCAATGGTATTTAAGGTAGATTTTAACAAAATGAAAAAAGAATGCTATGTTTGGACAGAATTTGAAAAAAGATGGAAATGCATTGGTGTAAAAAAGTAGTTTTTCAAAATTTTAAAGTAGAATGCTATGTTTGGGTAGATATTAAAAAAAAGATGAAAATGCAACTGTGTATCAAGGTAGTTTAAAAACTAAATAAATAAACAACATTTTTTTGCTAGAATTTTTAAAAAGAGGGAAATGCAATGGTACATAAGGGTAGTTTTAAAAAAAATGAAAATAGAATGCCATGTTTGGGTGAAATTTGAAAAAAGATGATATTGCAATTATGTATCAAGGTAGATTTTGAAAAAAAAAAAAAACAGGAAAGTTCAATGCTAAATTCGGGCAGATTTTGAAAAAAAAATGCAATTCTATATCATGGGTAGTTTTTTAAAAACTGAAAATAGAATGTTATGTTTTGGTAGAATTTGAAAAAACATAGAATTACAAGATACCAAGTTAAGAGACATGATGGCTTTTTCATTAATACCCTATCAGACATATTGCGTGTATATCAAGTAATGTTTTTGGTTTTGTACCTTATCAGAGGTGAGTGACTTGGTTGGCTTTTCAGGTTTTCTTAATTCTTTTTCTGGGCAGCATTCTTAGCTTCTTCTTCCAGTTGTTTCTGCATTCGGCTTCAAAAGAATGCCATTTTAGAAAACCTTTTTTGCTGATTAGATTTATCTTTTGCTCAAAAAGTTCTGATTAAAACCAAATCAAGAATGAAGAAATGTGACACCAAATTAGGAGAGGGGAGGGAGACAAACCTGTTGAATCAGAAGAACAGGTTTGTTCGACCTCATATCTGCTTCTTCTTGATTATGACCAAAACCCTTGACTGCTCCAGTTATCCTATCAGATAGCCAGAAAAAAAGGATGTGTTACATGATATTAGTTGATACTCCTTTCACAAATTTTCATAAATTGATATAAGATGGGGCATTTATCATATTAAGCAGCCAAGATTCATACTCATTTTACAAATCTTGAATCAATCCATGTGTTGATAAATGTGGCATAGTATGTGAGCCTAACAATAGCCTGTGATAGCAATCAATACATGTCTTACACTCATAAACAAACCCTTTATCGTTGGTAAATAGAAAAAGCCTTAATACAAATAACAAAACACAACCATACATAGTAAATACTAAAATACAGGAGAAGATTGTTGACAAAAACATCAGGGTCTGATAAAACTAATGTTTTATCCATACATTAACTTAATTTTTAAAGAAAAAAATAACCACATCAACAAATCTAAGTTCTAATGCATCTGCAGCAGTAAGTTAAACTGAAAAAATCAGGGTTTACAGAAAAACCCGCCAACGAAAATATGAAGAAGAAGACAGGGTAATACTAGAAACCCCAACCAGAAGCAAGAGCATCAAAACAAATTAAAATAGCAATTGACCTTCGATTTTTTCTTATTCAAACATCAATTTCAGTTTTACGAGGAAATTACAACATCTTAATCACAGAGAACCCTAGAGAAAACTTACAACGATCTTGATAATTTCTTGGACTAGAGAGTTGAATGAGAGTCTCCTGCAAAGGTTGGAGGCGTTTAAGTCTCCGGCAGCCGGCAGCTGAGTTGCATAGATCGCTATGGGTCTAGGGGGTGTTTGGGTTTGTTCATAGAGGAATGACAAACGAACGTATATATATTGCGCGACTACGAAGCAATCCTTTCCAATTCAAGGGTTTCTTAGATCTCCGGCGAGGGAAAGTGGTGCTTTGGGGTCTGTTGGGAGCGGGATACCTGAAGCTGAAAAAACGTATATATTGCGTGAATATTAAGCGAGCCCTTTCGACTTCTAACGGTTAATTTTTACAAAGACTTTCCAAAATTATGTTTTTCTAAATTACGGGTTATAAAAAAAACTGAACTTATTAATATGCTTAATTCTTGTTTTGTATCAAAGTGCCTATATATCTATGGTTTTGGACATTATAATGTTCAAATGAATGAATTTGACATATGATCTAAACTTTTTTTCTTAAACCAGTAGAAATGTTAATAAATGACAATTATGTATTAAAACCAGCACATTAAAAACTTAATAGGAGACACTTGTGTATTAAAACGTTAATTGCACACAAATGTGGATCCATAATTAACTTATTGGTTACCTTTTGTAATTAACTTGTTTGATATATTATTTAGATAATTATTAATAGGTTAATTACATAAAAAAATCTTATATATTAGGCTTTTTCCAAATTAAATTTCAACTTATACTTTTTTTTAAAAACTCTTAATTTTTTTTTTCCAAAAAAAAACTCATATTTTGCAAACTTTTTTGTTTTGACTCATAATTCCTTTGTTTTTCATGTAGTTTTTTATAATGTTCTTGATAATTTTCAATATTAAAAATTGATGGACACATTATATTTTTTTTTTAAACAAAGAGAAAAGATATCATGTTTGATTTTTGTTGGCAAAATGAATATCAAAATTTATTTACATGATACTCAGATATTGTAGCATGTAAAGAACAACAGTCTAAGTTGTTTCGATGTCTTATCTTACATCGCTTGGAGTTAAAAAGTTGTCTTTCTATTTGATACTTAACATAAGCAAATATCTCAAGCTAGCTTAGATTGCTAGTCTCCAACTCTACAATATTTGAGCATCCCGTAAAATAAAAAAATTATATGCATTTTGCCTATAAGAACTGAAAGTGGGAATTATTATGGATCAAATCACTTTTAAGATTGAATATGGTTCTAGTAAGGAAAACATAAAAGTTGTAATTAGATTCTAACAAAAGATAGGAGTTCGAAAAATTATCATTAAGAAAAAGAGAAATTACTAAAAAACAACTACACCTAAGATAATGTAGAAGTTAGTTGGTGTTGACTTTATTATCACATATAACCCAAAAAGAAAAGACAACACTCCGCCTTGAAAACAATGCACCAACAACCTTGAAAAACAAATAACCCCAATTTTCATGCAACTCTATGGTTGTGTGTAGAGAAAGATGCATATCACTTTAGAAATTTTAGTGTGTGTGTGTGTGTGTATATATATATATGTATATATTTTGTATATATAATTATTTCTAAGTGGGTTTGTGTTCTTCTTCGTGAGGTCTTCGAAATAATATATCGTATGTCCAAAATTGAGTATATATGAAGGGTTAATACCATAAAAGCCATAAGTTTACACTCCGATTCTAAATTAGCCATAAATGGATTTTTTGTGTCTAATTAGCCTAAATAATTATGACCCCGTTTCAATATCGTTTTATCAGCCGGTTAACAACAGGGGACGCAGCCGGTCACCACTCTCCTATACTACTTGATCGTTCGTACACCACCAAATATCACCTTTCACAGAAACGTCTTGCATCAAAAAAAGGGTTTCATGTAGTTGGTCTTAGGAAGAAGAAGGGTTTGAAAAGGGTTTCTTACACCATTGTTGCATGCAAAAAACTTATATTTTGAAGTTGAAAGACACTGAAGTAGAAAGGTACGTGGGGTGCCAATAAGAAATTGATGTGTTTGTGTGTTCTTATCTTCCATAATCGAGTTCCATAGTGTCACTTACAAGTTTAATTTTTCATCTTGAACAGATGGCTTCATCATCTGGAACTAAAAAGGTGAAAGGGCCTAAAAAGGTTTATGTAAGGGACGAGGACTCTGATGATGATCTCATAGATTTCTCTTTCCTGGATTTTGCACCAGAGACCTTTAAACCAACCTCAAACCTGTCTGATGACCCATTCCTTAACATATTATGTGATGAAAGTATGCTAAGGAGGAGTCTTGATGGAATGGGAGATGATGATCAGGAAGTTGGTGTTAAGGATCCAAAACATGATCATATTGATGATCAAAATTGTGGAAGTGGGTGTAGATACAAGGTTCATGATCCAACATCCATTGGAAACAAATGAAGCCTGTAGTGGGAGAGTGTTACGAGTCCCCTTCTCAACTCAGGTTTGCATTAACTAACTATGCAGTAGCTAGTGGATATAAGTTGTGGTTTATGAATAGTGATAGGCATAGAGTGATTGCTAGGTGTGGGAAAATATATAAAAAAGACTCATGTCCCTTTAGAGTTTATGCTGCTTGGAAGTATAATGAACGAACATTTCGGATTAAATATATATGTGACATACATCTATGTGCTGGAAATTATAATTTTGGAACTTTGGTTAGTTGCAACTGGTTAGCCAAACATTACCTGAAGGATATTATTATGAAGCCAAAGATGACATTAACTGAGATGAAGGAAGATGTACTTAGGATGTTTTTAGTAAATGTATCTAAGGGGCAATGTCACAGGGCTAGGACAAAGGCAAGAGAGATGATAGAAGGTAAGTTAGAAGAACATTATGCAAAGGTATGGGACTATGCTGCAGAAATCCTCAGGTCTAACCCAGGGAGCACTTGTAAGGTGGGAGTAGATTCTAATGCAAGTGGCATGAACTATTTCAAAAGATTTTATTGTGTGCTTAAAGGCTTTTTAAGGATGGTTGGAATAGGGTTGCAGACGTGTGATAGGTTTGGATGGTTGTTTCCTAAAGGGTCAGATCAAGGGAGAACTTTTGACTGTTGTTGGAAGATATGCAGACAATCATTAATACCAATAGCATGGGCAGTGATTAATGTAAGAGAACAAAGATAATTGGACTTGGTTTATCGAGCTGTTAGTTGCTGATCTTGACCTTGATTGTGGTAGGCGTCTTGTGGTTATTTCTGATCAGCACAAGGTAAGTTATATTGTAAATTTGTTTAATTATTATACATTTATAATATTTTTGTTTAGTAAATGTCAGGGTCCACTACAAGCTGTTACAGAACTACTTCCATATGTTGAACATAGACAATGTGCTAGGCACATCTATGCAAACTTCAGGAAGAAATACACTGGATTAGAGCTCAAGAACCTGTTTTGGGAAGCTGCCAAAAGTACTGTGTAGGGGGACTTTATACACTGGATTAGAGCTCAAGAACCTGTTAATGGAAGTAATATGTGGCCCCATACTGAATATTTGAAGCCCTTACCACCCCTTCTCAGGAGAATGCCCGGAAGGCCAAAAACCAAGAGAAGAAGACATGCCTCAAAATGTCAGGATTCTAAGTTTCCAACTCAAAAGGCAAAGGTTAGCAGGACTGTTAGGTGTGGGAAATGTAGGGACAGAAGAAATATGTTGATAGCACATCAAAAGAAGCAAGTAAGGGAAAGATGAAAGTTGTTGAGGGCACATCAAAAGAAGTAGGTAAGATGATAGATGTTGATCAGTCAATTGCTCCTTTGAAGAGGATGAAGATGATGGCAAGGAGGGGAGGTAAGATCAAATATGTAGGGAGAATAGGGGCTGTGCATGGTAGTTTAAGTCAAACTGTGGCAGGTGTTGAAAAGCTTACATGCCATGAAAAGCTTGACCATGAAGATCTTGAAACTATTAAAGATTTGCAGGCATCTGGATATGATCATGGGGAAATTGTTGAAGCTTTTAATAAGGTGTGTAGTTGTAAATTTAATTATTAACACAAAAGATAGGAAGGAGATGTTGACAAAAGAGAGGAAGGAGATGTTGGTTGAGAGTATAGTTGATGAAGAGACCATTCAAGAAACACAAAATTCGTTGGTAAGAAAAAGGAAGCCCTCAGAAAGAATTATCAAGATTAAGTTGAAAAAAGCAGTGCATGATCCAGATGGAGGTGGTTCAACAACTGAGAAAGCACTTACATTGGACTGATGTTGTTATGGATGGGTGGTTAATTGGGCAGAAATCTTTTGATAACCCTTTTTTGTGAAAGCATCTTTTGGTAACAGGCTTCCAATTTGTTGACAACATGTTATCTTTTGATTGTAAATTGTAGTAAGTACATTGTCATTTTGGGAAATCATATTTTGGCTTGTAAACATTGTTGTAAAATTGGAAGTTTGGTTCTGATTGTTACCCTCCATGTATGTATTGGCTATTATGTTTATAAAGATTGTGGTTTGTAATGGATAGTACACTGTCAATTTCTGGTTAATGATTTTCATATTAATTGCCCCGTAGGACTGTATATTACAAGGGTACCCATATTACAACCTTCAAAATGTTTTTCAGATGCTATTACTGATGGGTTTTGAGCATTCTAACACTCCTAAGGTGTACATGCAACCCTAGAAACCTTGGATCTATGTTTTCTCTAATATTCATGCAAATAAGAATTTTCCAAGGTTTACATCCTAACTAGCATGGCATGGGGTACTTGTAATATAAAAACTAGTAGAATGACATACCTTTGTAGTTGCTTGGATTCCTTAAGACATTGTGAGCCTAGCACCCCAAATGTGATGCCTCAAATGTTTCACACAACACCCACAACTCTTGGAATAACCTGAGAGAAGAACACTTTGATCACAAAATCGGCTAGCCCTCCTTGTCTTGTAATAATGGCCGATTTTACTCCATATGAGGTTCTTTATATAGTGTGTCACATGTAGGGTTACACCATGTAAACCCTAATTTGCATGACTTTTCATTTCCCCCCATGATCCATGGGTTATAACCTCCATGGAGCATCCATGGAGCACCCAATGGGTCCTAGCCCAATCTAGTGAATCATGAACCATAAGCCCACTATATAAGAATGAATGATTTACAAATCAATCCCCATATATTTAATTAGTCTCTTTTTATCACAAAATTAATTCCAAATTAATTCTTGATCAATACTAATTAAATAATATGATTTCATATTAATATATTAGAACTTATAATATATTAACAAATCGTAAGTGTCCTTTTTCTCATTTTGTCTATCCAACAGTTGAGATAAAGATGCAACCCAAATGGACCATGCCAAGCCGGGTCAAGTACATACTAAATATAGTTATGGACTTAGACACCTTATCCAACAGTCTCCCACTTGGATAAGTCTAATAACTATAGTTACATGTATGACTTCAGGAACCGACCAACAATCGTAGCTCTTTCAAAGTCTCGCGGAACTGAGATGATGATGCGCCATTTAAGATAAGTGATCATGCAATCCTCTGTTCTAGATATCATGTAGCACCTGGTTCTTGGTATGTATTTTTTTTTTATTTATTTAAGTATTTTGTATTTTTGGCCTTGGACTCGGCGAGTTGAAGGACCAACTCGCCGAGTAGAAGCGGGATGGGACGCGGGATTTAAGTGATGGACTCGTCGAGTTGGGTCCCGGACTCGACGAGTAGGCTCTGACAGGACAAAACCCTAATTTGAGGGTTTGCACCCTATTTAATCATCTCTTTCAGCCACCACTCGTCCCTAATGCTCCCAGAGACCCTCCATAGCAAACCCTAAGTGTTTTGGTGCAAGATCTAAGGCTTTTGAGTGATTTTTGTGGGTTTTGACCTCAAGGAAGAAGGAAGAGCATAGAAGGATCAAGAGGAGACTGAAGGATTCGAGTTTGGTTCATCATTTGCAGTCTTTGAAAGGTATAAAGTCTGTACCTTGCTTGCTTGTTTGTTAGATCCCTTTTTGGGGAAAATTTAGGGCTTTTTAAGCCATATGAGGTAGCCAACCGTGATTGCAAACATGGTTGTGGGTCAAGACTTCGGATCTAAGTCTTGGGAGGAGTCACAAGGCAGATTTGGGTTGCTTTTGCACCCAAGGAAGGCCCCATGCAACATAAGAGCCATTTTAGACCCTTTTAGGCTCAAAAGTCCCATGCATGCACGTAAAGTTCGAAACTTTACGTGCTAGATCGAGCTTAGGGGCTTGGATCTATCTTTTGGTCAAAGGTTGTACATCAGAAATCGAGGATTTAGGGTGTGGACGTTATCGACTCGGCGAGTCCGTTCTTGGGACTCGACGAGTTCAAGGCATAAAGTCTCATGTCTGTTGAGGGCAAAAGAACTCAGTTGGGTGTTAGAAGGTTGCAGATGTCCGAAGGAGTGACCCAATGTGTTGGACTTAGCCTTAGACCTGGAGTTCATGGGACTCGACGACTGCTAGAACAGACTCGGCGAGTCCAAGGCAATCTCCTTATGATTGGAGATGAACTCGACGAGTTGTTCATACAACTCGGCGAGTCAAGGTCAGCACTTGTTCATCAGATGAAGGTGAACTCGACGAGTTGTTCATACAACTCGGCGAGTCGGATGAAGGTTCATTCGATGTTCATATCGAAGAGGAACTCGTCGAGTCGTTGCCAAACTCGACGAGTCGGGTCGTGGATAAGGACGGGTAAAGAGTTAGGGACTCGACGAGTTGACGGCCCAACTCGGCGAGTCGGGTCAACTGGCAGTTGACTTTGACTTGGACTTGGTTGGGGGTAAAATAGTCATTTTACCCCAAGAGTAGATATCAGTTTCTGACTGAGTGTTTTATGGGGATTATAGCCGGAGGATTTCCGGAGCAGCAGCAGATAGAGGTTTCCCACACAGATTATCAGCAGCTACTCGTACGAGGTGAGTTACCTTCCAGTAGCGGTGGGTCTACAGCCACAATGCCGGCCCACCAGTAGGAGTTGTATGATTAGATGATTGTCTTTGTGATATCATCTAGGTTTGCTACTACCTGATATGTTTTATGCTGGCATGATATGTTATATGTGATAGTAGTACAGTTCGGTTGTTAGGACCGAAGGGTAGGTCAGACACCCCAGATATGTCTGACAGTATGTGATGATATGTTTATATGCTGGCATGATACGTTATATGTGATAGTGGTAGTAGGAGGGGAATAGTCCCCAAGTTCGTTTGTTAGGACCGAAGGGTAGTTCGGACACCCCAGATATGTCTGATAGTATGTTTATGTTATGATATATGTGATAGTAGCAGTAGGGGGTGGAATAGTCCCCGAGGGTCGGTTGTTAGGACTGACGGGTAGGTCAGCACCCCATAATGGCTTGACATGGGTAGGTCAACACCCCATAATGGCTTGACACGGGTAGGACGGCACCC